GAGCGGGAAGAGGTAGCTGGTGTGCCAGTCGCGGTCCAGGTTGGGGTTCAGGCCGGTCTGCTCGCTCCGGGGGGCGTTCCGAGGGCTGTATTTGAAGCGCAGCTGGTAATTAACCTACAGTGAGGGGTGGAGGAAGCAGCAGAGAATCAGGGTGTGAACACACCAGGGGAAGGACCCTGCCCCCCGACGCAGCCCTGGACTGATGTGGTCTCTGGCCTGGCCAGGCAAAGGGACACGTCACCCATCCCACAGGTGGCCTGGGGGGGGGCGCTGTGCCGGGGGGCTGCCCTCTTTCACACAGGTACCCGGTACTTCGGGGCCCCCCGGCTGTAAGGGGGCGGAGGTGCTCTCCGCTACCCCGTGGAAGTGCTGGGCTCACAGTGTTCTCGGTAACCACGGCCACGCGTGGTGCAGCAACACCGTAACTGGGCCGTCCTCCCCCTCACACTCTGGGGCGGTCCACCCGCACTCCAGGGGCCTGCCCTTGGCCGGGGAGGGCCGTGGCCAGGAGGCACTTACCTGCAGCGGCAGGGGGTCCTGGCTCTGATTGAAGTGGTGCTTGAAAACCAGGGCAGCCAGCACGTTCCCCGAGCGGTTATCAAACTTCATGTAGTCCTCAAACGCCCTCTCCGAGGGGAAGCCGTGAGCTGCGGAGGAGGGAACCCTGCGGTGAGCCACAAGGGGGGCACTCGGCCACGAGGGGAGGGCCCTGGGCCACGGGCTGGGGGTCAGTCCTGCGGGCTGCCTGGGAAGCACGGAGCAGGGCCTGGCAGGCCAATTCCGGCAGAGCTCTGCTCAGTGACACCAGAGCCATTCCCACTGGACGGCAGCCTGACGCCCCAGCCCCCCCGCGCCAGCTGCTGGTACCAAGGGGCTCAGTTCTGCTGCCACAGGAGAGGGAGCCCCCTGCCCTTTGGGGGGCTAGTTCTCAGGAAAGGCCTGTACAAGCCTCCCCCAAACGGCGCTGCCCACTCGGCCCCAGCCAATAACGACAGAACTGGGGCTGTCGAGTCCTGTTTAAAACGTTAACTGGTTAAACATCATGTTCATGGTGTGGGGGAGAGGGGGGCGGCCGGGCACCGGTTAGCCAGTTACTGGTCACATCATCCGGTAAGGGGGATGCCTATCAGGTAACCTGTTACATCCCTAGTCAGCAGCCTCCCCAGAGCTGGCTTGCCAACCCCCTCCCGGCACAGTGCAAATGTATATGGGGCCAGGTCTTCTGGGCTACCAGGGTTCCCTCCCGCACGGCTCAGCAGGGCAGGGAGGGCGGAACCTGGCCTTGCTGCTGCCAAGCGGGTAGCGACCCAGAGTCCGTCACTCGCCAGGCCCCGTCTGGCACCTTTCACTGGCGTTAAACTAACTCAGACCCGCAGCAAACGACATCCCGGCTAAGGTGGAAGGGCTGGGCCCAGTCCCACCAAGCTTATGCTGCTCAAGGGCAGCTGCCAACTGGGAACCCGCCCCAATACGAAAAGTGAGTTAAGCACCAACCTGGGGACCCAGCCTCGAGTCCCCCGACCAGTCCTCTGGCTGCAGAACCCCAGCTCAGTTCTAGAGCTTCTCGCTAGCGTGGGGTGAGAGGCAATGGGTGCAGATCACTGGAGCAGGGGGACGGGGGCGTCCGGCCTTTGGGCACGGCCAGCATGGATGTGCTTTCCCAAGCGGAGTGAAAAGAAAAGTGCCGCGAAATGAAGCTTCCCAGGCGTTTTGTCGCAGACACACTCCAAAGGAGCCCAGCGAGACGTTCCGGGAAGCCCAGAGCATTTCGGTTAGCCTCAGCGTGGCCACGACACAACGGAATGTCCCACTACGCTCCCCCACACATTCCCATGTAGCTGGATCAGCCTTGGCCAACAGAAACACTTTCCCCTGGTCCTCCCGCTCACAGGGCAGCCACAGTGCCCGCAAGCGAGCAGCCCAACAAGCCGCATGCAGGAGGTTGCTCGTTTCTCCGACCTCGGGGCAGCCGGTGAAACCTTTCCAGACAGAAGGCTGATCTGTGAGCGGGCAGCTCTCACTGCGGCACTGCAAGGCTTGGCTCTGGAGACCAAGCCAGCACCGGGCTGTCACTGCCCCAGATGGTGAACTCTGGACCCTAGCAATGATGAACTGAAAGTCAGCTCCGTTCCCCCAGCTGATCTGCCCACAGCCTGGCTTTAAGAGCATTTGGACAGTCGGCTCGCCTACCCACACAGCACTCGGTGGAGTCAAAGAACACGCTCACGTGCTTTTCTGGACACGGCCATACGCCAGGCGCCCGCACACACCTACAGACCGGTCTCTGTATTTAACCGACGCCCGCCCATTCTAACCTTTGATATTGACATGCAGGGCCTTTTCCACCACCTCGGCGATGCGCCTCACGGCCGTGCTGTTGGACGGGACGTAAGCCAGCTCCCAGGGACGGGGATGCCAGCGGTGGAAGAACCACGGCAGTTCGTCCACAGATTGGCTGGGGTAGATGGTGGCATTGGGGTGGCTGATCGAGTGCACTCGGTGGCGGAGCGCAATGAGGATGGCGGCAAACAGCAGTGGCAAGCAGATTTCTATGAGCGTTACCAGAATCTGTCGCTTCTGCAGGAGAAAGGAGGGAAAACGGGTTAGAAAGGGGAAGGGAATTCAGGCTCCCACGCGCCGGTTCCACACATGGCAAGTGGACTGCATGGTGCTGTAGGAATCACCCCCTCCCCTAGCCAAACCTAGCCCTCCCTGCCTACCGCTGCTTCCTTCATGCCCACACGCAGCAGGGTTGCCGGGGGGCAGGCATGGGGAGCAAGCACAAGGGGCAACACAACCCTCCCCCCACGCTGAGCTTGGTCAGCAGCTTCCGACAAGCGCCCTGGCCTGCCCAGAACCACGCAGTGTTCAGGGGCAGAGCAGATGTGGAGGACAGCTGGGTGCGGGCGGATGCAGGGAGCCCCCACCTAGACAGGAAGCATTACAACAGCGCTGCCTGATCAGCACCTGAGTGCTGGAAACTAACGTCAAATCCCAAGGCCGAGTGGGATAAGCCGGCGCCCGGCTGTCCCGTCTCACCGCGGAGCTTCATAGAGCCGAACAATCGGGTGCCCCCCAGACTGTACTGGGAGCAGATTGCAAAGAACCCAAACAGCAACAGGCAGGCCCGAAACTGACCAGAATGGGTAAACGGGGGGCAAAGGGGCATGACAAAAACTAACCCACCAGCCCCCACATGCACACACCCAGACGGCTCCGACCCCGCGCCGTCCTCCCCGACAGCGGCCTGCCCAACAGTCACTGGGGCTGAAGACGTACCAGACGGGACTCGAAGTGACTCCATTTGAGGCAGCATGTGCCACGGTTCTCCTAACCGCCGCCCTGGGACCAGCTGTTCTCCTCCGCAGAGAGAGCCCAGCGTGCACGTACCTGCAAAATGTAGTTCTTCCAGAGAAGCAGCCCGAACTGCCTTAGCACAACCATCCTTCAGCTGGAAGGGGAGCGTCGCCTCTGGCCTGGACTCTAGGAGAAAAGAGCAGGCAGCAGTGAGAGAAATGGACCAGACAAACCCAGGAAGCCGCCGCTGGACGAGATCGTACGCGGGATTCTGTCTGAGCTGCCTGTGTCTAGTTCTCGGCGTGACCCGAGGCGCCCCAGACGTGGGATCTGGGCAACACACGGAGCAGCAGAAGGGAGAACGTCCCTCCCTCTAGCCCGCAACTGTGCTTCAAACCTGTCACCCCAACGGCTACACGCGGTCCCCAGTCCCGCTCCCCGGGAGCCGCCTGCTGCCCCTGTATCACAGACAGCGGCACAAGTCAGTGGGCAGGAGCTGGTCCGCGCAGGGAGCCTGCTTCCAAGCCGGCTCCCAGGGGAGCTAGCTTCCCGGGGCACCTACTGTGACAGCTCGGGGCTCTCCAAGGGGACGTACGTGCCCGAGGCCCGTGGGCTTCCACTGCAGGGCCTTGTGCACACTCAGGTGACGGCAAACTCTCGCTAACTGGAGCGCAAAGCCCTTTCCAGGGGCAAAGCGCCATCTGACGGGCGGGAAACTGCCGGGCCCTTTCCAGAAGGGCTTGTAGTCTGCAGCCAGGCCAGGCAGCGCCACTGAGACACAAGAAGTGAGGTGGTGTGCAGAGGGGGTGCTGGAAAGGCCTGTGCCCGCACCACGCCGCGTACCCTTGGAGCACCAGGCACGTTCCATTACAGCAGCCTCTCCCCCCACACCGCAGGGCTAAGTTCTAGCCCAGGCGTGGCCAACCCGTTTAACAAAGAGAGCCAAAACAGCGGTGGAAAAAATGCGAAGAGCCGCACCAGCATTGTCAAGCCAAAAAATAAAAAAATAAAAGCCTCCCAGAACAGAACTGTCGAGCAAAAACAAAAACAAAAGCTTTTATTTTTTTTTCTAAAAAAGGAGGCTGCCCCTTTAAGAGGGACTTTTTTTTCTTAAAAAGGAGGCTGCCCCTTTAAGAGGGCCACCATCTTGGGCACCATTTTTAAACCTCCGCAGCTCCGACCTGGTAAGCACAGGGCAGCCTGGGGAGGGGAGCCAGCGAGGGCAGTGGGAGAAGGGAGGGAGAGTGGCAGGGGGGGGG